CAACAGAGTAACCATTATCCTTTCAGAAGGAGAGAAGAAATCTAGGGTAATTAGAGGGGGGGAGGGGGAAGGAAGAGGGAGATGGGGAAAGATTGGACAAGAGGCATAAAGAATAATTACGATTTGTAACAATATATATGCTAGTTATATTGATTTGATCAATACATCTCAATGCTGAACCCCCAAAATATGTATAATTTTGATTCAATAAATAAATAAAAATAAAAACAAAGAAACAAATAAATAAATGTTCAACTTATTGAAAAGAGTGCTTTTTATACTCTTTAGATGGTTGACCACCATTTACCAGATGAGAAAAGTGTGGCTGAAAAAAGAAGACTATTTAGTTCAAACTCAAAATTCAGGTTTCCACATTTTGGTCCATTGTTCTTTCTGGTTCAGTTCTTTGGTTATCACTAATGGTAAAATGTTCTGTAGGAAAAATATGTATATCTTNGAGGAGAGACCTACAGAGTTCATGAAGGTGGGAGAAACCACAATGAGAGAAAGAAAAAACTACTCTGAGTATTTTGTGCCCTGTCCACTTCCAGACTGGAACTGCTGAGCGCATGAAGCAGGAGCCAGCAGAAGCTGCAGCTTTGCCCTTCAGATGGAGTTACTTGGAGGCGGCAGGGGAGAAGAGGGACTTGGCGGCCCCCAGGACAGCAAGACCACTAGTAGGGTTCCTGTGGGCCCACGCAGGAGCAAGGAGCCAGAACAACTGAAAAAAGGGAACCATTCAGAGGCTGGTGAGTCATCGCAAGGGACTGGTGCAGGACCCATCCCATGGGAAGTGTTTGGAGCATGGGCGGTGGGGGAGATGGGCCCACCGGGAGAACACTGGGGCACAGCAAGGACAACTGATCTGCCCCCTAATCAGCATAGGACCATTCAGAGGAGACTGGTCAGGAATGCAGAATTGCATGGGGTGTAGTTTGATGAAAAAACTCAGGCCCAGATCAGTGTTTCTACATAACACAGATCCATTGGGTCTCTGGAGAGCTGGAAGTACCTATAAGATCAACCATTAAACCCTGAGCTGCACAAAAAGCTTTCCCTATGAAAACAGCAGCAAAGCAGCAATTTACCTCAACAACACAGCGCACGTACTGGTTCCCACAGGAAGTTCCCCCATTTTAGAAGCAAAGGACAAAAAATGAGTTCCAGCCCAGGCACACCACCAGCACCTTTGGGTCTGCCTGGGAACTGGAGGCTTGGAGCCAGGGACTGGAGACCCCCTCCCACAACCAGGTACACCACGCCAGCACCTCGGGGCCTGCCTGGGGACCAGAGGCATGGAGAAGGGGACCAGACACACCCCACAGCCAGGCACACCGCCAGTGCCAAGGAGCATGCCAAAAACATCACCTCCATGTGGGTGGCCCACCACAGCCACGACAATAACCATGGCTACCGCAAAAGTGGCTAGACACCACAACCACCATGCAGAAGGTCCGCCAACCACTGTAGTGCATTGACACAAGGAGTCACCAGCAGAGATAAAGAAAAGAAGAGGATGTCTCTCTCCACAAAGCCCATTTCAGAGTGAAAGAAGAAGCACCTGCTTTATGATAATATCGAGGGACCTGATCACACCTCTCAGCATTGGACAGGATCATCTAGGCAACAGATCAACAGAGTAACCATTATCCTTTCAGAAGGAGAGAAGAAATCTAGGGTAATTAGAGGGGGGGAGGGGGAAGGAGGAGGGAGATGGGGAAAAATTGGAGAGGGAGATGGGGAAAGATTGGACAAGAGGCATAAAGAATAATTACGATTTGTAACAATATATATGCTAGTTATATTGATTTGATCAATACATCTCAATGCTGAACC